GACATCCCCTATCTCCCATATCCGACCTTCCAAGGCTCTGTCACCCCGCACCAATTCCTCCACATGGCTCGCCTAAACCCCGACTCCGCCTACTACTGTCTTGTCCTTGATCGCGAAAGTCCAAAGGACTTACTCCCGATGGACAAACCCGATCAAGGCCCCCCCTCCAACCCCGCCATCACTTCAATCCTCAACGAGTTCAGGGACGCCTTTCCCGAGTCCTTACCCGCCGGACTACCTCCGGATTGTGGCGTATCGCATACCATCGATTTGGAACCCGGACATTCTCCACCTTGCYGCCCTCCATACCAACTCTCTGTCCCCGAAACCAAAGAAATGAAGTGGCAACTTGGTGAACTCCTTGAAAAAGGGTTCATTAAGCCAAGTTCAACCCCCTTCGGAACCAGCTGCCTTTTCGTCAAGAAAGGTGGAACTTCGGAACTCCGCATGTGCACAGACTATCGCGCCTTGAACCGGATCACGATCAAGAACAAGTACCCCTTACCTCGGATTTTAGAGCTCCTTGATCGTCTCTATGGAGCCAAGTACTTTACCAAGATCGACCTTCGCAGTGGCTTCCACCAGATTCGTATCTGCGAGGAGGACACCAACAACACTGCCTTCCGCTCTCGGTTCGGGCACTACGAGTTCCTCGTGATGCCATTCAGACTCACCAATGCCCCCGCTACCTTCCAATCTACCATGAACCACATCTTCCACAACCTCCTCGAAGTCTGTGTCGTCGTCTACCTTGATGACATCCTTGTCTTCAGCCCCACCTTCGAGTCCTACCTTCAGCACCTTCGCCAAGTCCTCTCGATCCTCCGAGAGCAAAAATTCTACGCCAAGCTCGGCAAATGTATATTTGCCGCTTCGAGTGTCGAATACCTCGGCCATATTGTCTCCACTGAAGGCATCCCTATGGACCCCTCGAAGGTCACAGCCCTCGTCGAGTACCCCCCACCCAAGACCCTYCTCCAACTCCGTTCCTTCCTCGGCCTTGCCAACTATTACCGCCTATTCATTCGCAACTTTTCCGAGATCTCTTACCCTCTACACGAACTCACCCGCAAGGACGAGCCCTTCCATTGGAACGATCGCCGCCAACACACTTTCGACTTACTCAAACAAACCATCACAAGGACCCTTGTCCTCAAGATCACCGACCCCACTCGCCATTTCTATGTCACTACTGACGCCTCGGACTTCACCATCGGAGCCGTACTGTCCCAACATTTCCCCCGCGACACCGCCAAGACCACCTCCATCAAGGACTCGCCCACTCACCCCGAGGGTCCACCCGACGAAAACCCTATCGCCTACGCAAGCAAGAAGCTCCTTTCCGCGGAGATGAATTACCCCTCCAACGAGAAGGAACTCCTCGCCGTGATTCACGCCCTCACAGTCTGGCGTCCGTACCTCGACGGCCAATATTTCACCAACCGCAATGACAACACCATCGTCTCCTCCATCCTCTTCAAGAAAGATATCACTCCACGCCAAACCTGCTGGCTAGACTTCCTTGCCCTGTTCACATTCACCATTTGTCATACCCCCGGCAAAAGCAACCGCGTTGCGGATGCCCTCTCTCGACGACCCGACCACAAGCCCCCCGAGAAAGTCTACGCCGCCATGACTCATATTCAACTCCTTTTGTCACTTCATCATCGATACACCCAAGGTTATCTCTCGTGAGCAGGATCCGAGTCCGCGGCCAGGATCCTAGTCCGCCCTCGGCCGTGCCACGCGCAGGCGGGCGCGCGCCCTCAAAATCAGCGCGCACGGTTGACCTGCACACGTCGGCCGCTGCAGGCCTATGCAAAAAAAAAAGAAAAATCGAAAATTTGAGGGGGGGTGTGATTTTTGATATGTTAATTTTTTTTTTTTAAAATAGAAAAAACAAATTTGATTGATTGATTGATTGATTGACCGATTGATTGATTGATTGATTGATTGATTAATTGATTGATTGATTGATTGATTGATTGATTTATGATTAATTGATTGATTAATTGATTGATTGATTAAATGATTGATTGATTGATTGATTGATTGATTGATTGATCGATTGATTTTTTCTTTTTGATTGATTTATTGATTGATTGATTTATTGATTG